GATCCCAGCCCCGGCCCCTGCCCGCGCCCCCGCCACCGGCACCGCCACCGGCACCGGTGGTTCCTCCTGCCGCCGGGGGACCGCCGCGCCCCCGCCCCGTCTCGCCCCCGGGGAGGGCTGTGGGAGCGGAGAGGGACAAGGCGAGGGGCGGAGGTGCGCTGCAGCTCCTTCCTTCTTTTCTGATTTTATTTTTATTATTGTCGAGTGTATTACTACTTCCCTCACCTCGAGGGGCTTTGCCGAAACTACCCACCCGTGGGCTCAGCGGTGCGCGGGGCGCCTCCCGCAGTGCGGGGCTTGGTGTCCCTACTCCTGCCCCCAGCCCCGCTGGCCCTGTGACCTGGGGCGCGGCGCGGCGCCCCGGGTGCGCCCCGCAGCTGCGGGGYTGCCCCCGCCGGGCCGGTCATTGCCACCTCCGTGCAGGGTCCGGCGCCCCGCTGAGAAGTGCCCGGCTTTGTTCTCTCCGCCCGAGCAGGAGGCACCATTAGAAATAAATACAACGATTACCCAGCTTGCTTTTTTTTTTTTTTTTTTTTTTTTTTTTTTTTTTTTTTTTTTTTTTTTTTTTTTTTTTTTTTTTTTTTTTTTTTTTTTTTTTTTTTTTTAAACTGTTGTCATTGTGCACAGGAAATAGGACGTTCTAGATTTCCTGTCATTTTAAACCACAAACCAGCAGTTCTCTAATGCAGATTAGCGAAATTCACACCGACTAAGCAAACACCGTCTCGTTCCCAAAAAAGAAAAATCTGTTTCCTCGACCCCTTTCCACGCTGTGAATCGCTCATCCGAGACTTTCAGTTCATCCTCACTAAAACACAGGGTGGGGGCTAGGGAGGGAGCAAAAGAGGGTGTTCGCTCTCCTCGTTTGCCACGGGAGGTGAAGCAACCCCTCACCGGGCGCATCCCGGCACGTACGGTCGCCCGCACGTCTTTGCCCGTGCAGGATGAACACAGCAGAGGCTGCTGCCCCCGACAGCCGTGGTCGAGCCGCCCTTCCCACGGCGTTATGTAGGTTACGGGGAGGGAGGGAAAGAGGGCGGGAGGCGGGGGCCGATCGGGGCCGGGGAAGCTCTGACGTCCGTCGCCGCCGCCGGGAGGTGGCTCCCCGCAGCTGGGGGCCGCCCGACGGCGCTGCGGGGCTGGCCCCGCCACCAGTACTGTAGCTTTACAGCTCTTCCTCGCCCGGGCTGCCGAGGGGCGTCGGGCGGGCACCGGCGGCAGAGCCGCGCCCCTGTCACCCCTGTCGCCCCGCGCTCGCTCCCGCGCCGTTCGCCGGGGCCGGGGACTGGGTGTCGCGGGGGGACCCCTTGCTTCACCCTGCCCCAGCCTCTTTCTCGCCTTGGCGGTGGCTGCAGCGCCGTCCCCCGTGCCAGGTTGGGTGACTTTGCAACTGCATGGCTGGGCGGGCGTCCTGAAGGCGCCGGGCTGTACATAAGCGAAATAAAAGCCTGCCCTGGCTCCTAACCCAGCCCCGCATTCGTTGCGGCGGCCAGGGCTGCTACCTCGGGAGCTACCCCCTGAGCCCTCACAGCTCGTAGCAGCCCTGCGGCGGCCGGCCGGGGTCGCTGGGCAGGAGCAAGGAGAAGGGGGCAGCCCTGCTGTGGCACCGACGTGCTCCCGGAAAGCCAAGGGTTAACATCGGCTCGCTTTTCCCGAGCAGCCCTCCTTTCACATTGCATCAAAGTCCTTTAAAGCTGTTTCTCTTCCCTCCTCCCCTCCCCGGCTGGAAAGACGATTTATCCATGCGAGCTAAGTAAACAGATCTTTGTTTTCGTCTTCCACCCACTGCCCTCTTTCTCCAGCCCGAAGCTGGAGCCTCGCCAAGCCGGCTGCAGCGATCGCTGCCTCCACACACACACACACACACACTCACACGCGGGGCGGGGGGGGAAGAAGCCGGGTTTCTCGGGTGAGGCAATGCGCCTGCAATTGGCAGGGACAAGGCAGGAATTGTAATTGCACTTCATCATGTGATGGCTTATGAAAGAGGAAGTTTGGATGTTTTAGTCACGTACTCCTTTGCCCTCTTGCTTTAGCCTCCAGGTTCTCCGAAGGAAAAAATTACATATATTTATATATACTGGTGGAAAGCCAAGAAACAGTGTGTTTGCGCATTTCAGATCATGAGCAGAGCTAGAGTGCTAGCTGAGTGCGGCTGCAGGGTAARAAGAAAGCAAAGCTTTGAGCTGTGGCAGGCTTTTAACTGCAGGACAGAAAATGTGATCTGTATTTATTTTCCTTTATTTTTAATGAAAACTAGCTGTATGGAAAAGTCAAGATGAGCRGTATTCTGGTTTTGCCGTATTTGCTGCCTTTGAATTCATTCTGGTGGAAAAGGGAAAGAAAGCCCAACAAAATCGTGTTACCAAGCTCAGTGTCAAAAAGCTGATAAAAAAAATAGTGGCAGTGCTACATAGGAAATGTGGTTTATGTRTCAAATCACAAAAGAAAAAGCCTCAAAGCTGCTTACTGTTACAGCARTAACTGCACAAGAATCGAACAAATAATGCACTTGTCTCTTGTTCTTTTTTTCTTTTTTGAAACAGAAACCAACCCTTTGTGCCCGATCTCTGCGGAACGCCCCTTGCGAAACACACCAAGGCTATAGATAGGAGCAGCTAGTGCTGGACAATGTCTTACAGGGTGCAGGGCTTTGAAGGTCTGAGGCAGTRCCTGACCAGGGAGCACCATGGTGGCACGGATGAAGGTCCAGCACAGAGAGGAAGACTTTTGTTCTGGTGTGCCCAGTGTCATGGGTGAGGGAAGGAGGGGAGAGGAGAGGTTGGAGTGGGGCAGTTCTTTGAGATGAACTCTGTTTGCCACCCCCACATCAATGCCATGCCCCTTCTCACTGCGTATTTTTTTGCTTTAGTCAGTGAGCCACACTGAGGTCTTGCTGTGTTTTTCTTCCTCCCTGCAGGGTCTGGTACCCTTTCCCACTTATCCTCTGCACTGGTGGCAGCAATCGCATGCAGACCCTTGCCCTCAGCCTGCACTTCACCCACATGCCTATCCCCCATGGGGCCTGCCCTTCCTTCTGTGTCCAAACCAGTGCTCCTCACCTGCTCCCCTCTGCCCCTGGCATTCTTCTTTCCCTTCTGATCGAGGGCTGTCTCACATCCTCCTCCAACAGATATGCCCTGCTTCCTCCACAGCTCTTATTTGCATCCCTCTGTTGTGGCAGAAGTCCTGCAGGGTAATATCAAAATGGCCAGAGCCAAAATAGGAAGGTCAATTATGCTGGAGTGTGCTACCATCTCTCCTTCATTGATCTGTAATGAATTATGGAGGTTGCTCTCCCAGAACTGAGAGAGGAGAGACTGGGAATAGTCCTTGAAGTTTTGGATTGCGTCAGATGCAGGTAATTCTGGGCCAACAATGTTTAATCTAGTGCTATAGGAAAAAAAAAAATAGTGATGCAAATGAGAGTGTCATCAGGCACAGCTTATTGACATAAATAGGCTTTGGACAGGCTCATGGTAAGCCACTGATCCTGCAGATGTTTACAACCAGTTATAACTTTATTCAGAGGAGCATCACTATGAATGTAAAGCCGTGTGCACTTATGTGCTTGCAGGATGAAAGCACGCTTCCCTGAGAGCCTCCCATCAGCAGTGTGCTGACGGCTGCCCTCAGCCTGGAGCTGACTGCTGATGGCAGGAGCTGACAGAGACACTGGCACAAAACCACTCCACTGAAGCYGGAGAGAGGTCACTGCACTAGCTCAATGTGAGGCAGGACGTGCCAGAGGACTGAGAGGGACTCAAGCAGCTACACAGTATCTGCTGTTTCCCATACAWGGGGCCTTGTATTAACTCCTTG